GCCAACCTCTCGGCGGCCCTGCACGTCGTATACCATAGCACACCAAACTATTAGTGGAGTGGCAGAAAGAATAGAACCGAAGATTTCTATAAACCTTTATTAAAATTTGACACGCACCGATAAAAAGTTGAACAACTATATAGTATAGACGAAAGTTTCGGTCAAAAATATATATATATATATATATATATATATATATATATATATATATATATATATATATATATATATATATATATATATATATATATATATATTATAGTAGTTTTAAACTGAAGTTTTTGCAATTTTTAAAAATTTTAATATTATCTTTGTAATATCACGTTTTTAAAATTTTTATGAATTTACAATGTGGTAATTATTAAAATCAATATTTAATTTACCTTGTACATTGGCAGTAGAAGATGGTTTTGCACTGGAAGGCTCTGAAAAATTCCACAAAAGAAGTTAATCGAAATTAATCAACATATTGCTTAACGGTTCAAAGGACAAAACAATAGGGCACGCTCAAGGATTGGATGCTCTGGCACGTGCGTTGTATGGTGGGATTACTGATATGCATGGTTTTGTATTCCAGAGGCATTACAATCCGATATCAAATCCAATCCAATAAAAACGCACAAGCTGTAACAAACCTACAACAGACTTGTAGCAATGCTGTTCCAACTTGCAATGTTGTTCAGACTTCAGACTTGTAGCAATGCTGTTCAGACTTGTAGCAATGCTGTAGCAATGCTGTTCCAACAACTTGTCAACAGAATGTGTTCGCACTGCTTGTTCCCAGCTTGTTGACAAGTTGTCAACGGCTTGTTGACAAGTTGTCAACGGCTTGTTGACAATTCGCTACAAGATTATTGGGCTCAACAGACCGGATATCGTCCTGTGATAACCTTGTAGCAACTTGATAAAACAACAGCATTGGCTGTATTGTTACAACTTGTTGACAAGCTTGCCACAAGCCTGCTGCGAACACATCATGTTGACGAGTTGTGAGATTTTTACGTGTGTACCTATCAGCAAATGTTACACAAACGTTTACGATATTCAGCCTGATCCTGTCCAATATGGGTTACGTTTACTCTTGTTCCGGATAGCTTTCTGTAGCGACGTGAAAAGGAACGCTATTTTCAGAGGAATTATTGCAACGGAGAGTTGTTATTTCGCTCAGCTTCTGAAAGTTGTACATTCCGTATTGGATAGGTGCTTTTTCGCGCCGCTACGGAAAACTTATCCGGTATAGTGTAAACCTCTGGTAACGTACCACTAGTTGATTCAGTACGGTTACAATAATCTTCGTCGCTTCCATCTTTACAATCGGCAAAACCGTCACATTCCCAACTTTCGGGAATACAATAAATGGCATCTCGGCATGACAGCAGTCCAGAACGGCAATGTCTTCTTGAAAGTTTTGATGCTGTTTGGCTTGACGGCGTTGATTGAAAAGCTGGATACAAGCCCAGAAATAAATATAAAATTGTGTATACGTAGAAAGTTGGAAACATAGCGTATCGACCTACTTTACTCTTGGTAATTTGAATCATATGTCGAGGTACAAATGTGTGCCAATCGTCCTTACTTTCATGTGAGACGGCTAAGCTGAATAGACTCTTTGCATACTTAAGTTACACAGGGTGTATAAAAAAAAACGCAACCTCGGAATTTCCTAAGAAATCACTTTGCAATTCTTAAGCATAAAAGATTTTAGGCCCCTGGGAATTGAAATCGAATTGCTAATAGTCATATTACTGTTGTTGTGCATTAAATAAATGCATAAATTTTGCTTTATGCACTCGCGTGTGCAGTAATTTTGACAGTTATGCTATTTTAAATTCCCAGGCGCCTAAAATCTTTTGTCTTTAAAACAATGTCGATTTCTTGGGAAATTCCGAGGTTGGGCTTTTTTTGATACACCCTGTACTGTATTGCTGTTCATGCAGCACAAGATTTCATCCTCCTGGGAATTTAAAATAGCTTCTAATCGTATGAAGAGCATAACTGCATAAAGAATTGTTAAATTACAGTCGAACCTGTATTAAGCGGTGACTCTTGGGAATTTCTCAAGTGATCGCTTAAAGGCGGATTTTTCCATTCAGTGCAAAATTTGCGCGATCGACTTTTTGCGATCGCTTTCTTTTGAAATACAAACAGTCAAGCGGAACAAATCTCATTAGCTGATTAGCTGTAGCTGAGTGCACGCATTTCAAAAGAAAGCGACCGCAAAAAATCAATCGTGCGACATTTTGAATTGAATGAAAATCCGCCTTAAAGCACAAGATTTTATGCTCCTGGGAATTTAAAATAGCTTCTGCATTATCGTATGAAGAGCATAACTGCATAAAGAATTGTCAAATTACTAATTGATCAGATCATTTTCACCCTTATATCAGCGCCCCTGCCCCTTATGTAACATAACTCGTACTGGAATTAACTCGAAAATATTACATCACTTCCTCTGTCATTTCAGTAAACATTGCCGCTATACGCAACATACCCTATATGTGCGAGGGCAAGGTTTGTACAAAAAGACCGAGGTCCGCGATATTTCTCTGTAAACTGACCGAGCAAGTGAAGTTAATAAAAAGTTTATTATATGGCATTTATTTATATATATATATATGCATTTATAGTCGAAACAAACAAGAAATGCATGATTTGAACCCAGCTACAATGTAGGGTTGTTTTCACCGAACAAATTTCTCAGAAATTTACGAGATATAATGTTTACCTTTCACCCTCAGAATAGTAGTTTGTATAATAGTGCCATTTGTACCAATTCCGAGACAGGAATATTTCTTCCGATCTTCGTAATCAGCAATGTCGTCTATATGCAACACACTTTCTTTAGGTGTAAATCGAGAATCATCCACTAAAACAAAGTTATATACAAAGACATTAGACAATTATGATTAAAATTTTAAATGTCAATATATAAAAAAGTGATTTAGTATTGAGCAACCAATCTATCTCTGTTATCAAGTTCCATAAAAGCTAGATCTTCAACTATGATTCATGACACAGAAGTGCGATTTAATACAGATACCACGGTTTAAGACAGCATGCGGCCGATGATCTCAAGGATACAACTTAAAGAACATTTGCTTTCTAATGATTTCAAGCCGTTTGTATGTGACATATCGTCTAATTTCTCTCTTTCGACACATTTAATAAAATCTAATTGCTAATTGTAAAAATTGTCAAAGACTCAAAGTGTGGCATGTTAAAAAAATTATAAAAAAAACTAATTTAATAAATGAATTTTTTATATTTTTTTAACATGCCATACTTTGAGAAGATATTATTAGCACTGACGAAGATCCGAGCTTACGGATCGAAAGCTTTGCAGTAATAAATTTACGCGGTGTTAATTCCACAAACAAAACTATTATATGTTTTATCGCCATGCAAACTTACAAAGATCTTATTAGTTTCACTTCTTAATTTGAAAATTGTAAATAATTGTAGTTTTTATTATTATTGTAAATTACCGTAAGCGGAATCGCCGAATCGAAGAGGATTAGAGACTAGTATTAGAGGATTGAGACTGAATGAGACTGAATTAGTCACATGACAAGTCACGTGATTGCACAGACAAATGCTGTATCAGACAAACTATATTTTCATTGACCATGTATGTCCAAACAGAACATTCGTCTTCAGGGAAACAATGCGCTATCCGATACTAGATGAATAGATGGTACCTATCAAGGAATTGTTTTCATCACGCCATTCATACTGGATGGGATAACCAATCACATCACAGGTTAGTTTGACGTCACTTCCGGCAGTATCTTCTACTTCCTTTTCCTCAGGCCCGTTCAGATATGCTTCAACTAGAACATGGAAAATATGCTCAATTTTATTTTTGACAGCTATTTTTTCAACTTACATTACAGTGTAAAACTAGACTGTTCTCAGAGCAGGTGATGGTTTTGGAACACATCGTTGTGGTAGATACTGACTAGCCTAAACTTGAAACTGTTGGTTCTCAATGTACACAGGTAGCATGGTCTTGTAATATACTTTGCCTTTGACATTGTGCTGAATTGAAAATCTTCCACAAAGGACGTGGATTTTCAAGATCACTATATCTACATTGAGAACCAACAGTTTAAAGTTTAGGCTACAGTGTATATTATAGCTCAGTGAGCTAGTGAGAATCTACCACAAAGGCTGTGTATATTTCAAGACCACTACCTACACTGAGAACCAACAGTTTGAAGTTTAGTCTAGCGAGAATCTACCACAAAGAACGTGTATTTCAAGACCACTACCTACACTGAGAACCAACAGTTTAAAGTTTAGACTAGTGAGAATCTACCACAAAGGACGTGTATTTCAAGACCACTACCTACACTGAGAACCAACAGTTTGAAGTTTAGACTAGTGAGAATCTACCACAAAGGATGTGTATTTCAAGACCACTACCTACACTGAGAACCAACAGTTTGAAGTTTAGACTAGTGAGAATCTACCACAAAGGATATGTATTTCAAGACCACTACCTACACTGAGAACCAACAGTTTGAAATTTAGACTAGTGAGAATCTACCACAAAGGACGTATATTTCAAGACCACTACCTACACTGAGAACCGGCAACAGTTTGAAGTTCAGGCTAGTGAGAATCTATCACAAAGGACGTGTATTTCAAGACCACTACCCACACTGAGAATCAACAGTTTGAAATTTAGACTAGTGAGAATCTACCACAAACGACGTGTATTTCAAGACCACTACCTACACTGAGAACCAACAGTTTGAAGTTTAGACTAGTGAGAATCTACCACAAAGGATATGTATTTCAAGACCACTACCTACACTGAGAACCAACAGTTTGAAATTTAGACTAGTGAGAATCTACCACAAACGACGTGTATTTCAAGACCACTACCTACACTGAGAACCAACAGTTTGAAGTTTAGACTAGTGAGAATCTACCACAAAGGATGTGTATTTCAAGACCACTACCTACACTGAGAACCAACAGTTTGAAATTTAGACTGGTGAGAATCTACCACAAACGACGTGTATTTCAAGACCACTACCTACACTGAGAACCAACAGTTTGAAGTTTAGACTAGTGAGAATCTACCACAAAGGATATGTATTTCAAGACCACTACCTACACTGAGAACCAACAGTTTGAAATTTAGACTAGTGAGAATCTACCACAAACGACGTGTATTTCAAGACCACTACCTACACTGAGAACCAACAGTTTGAAGTTTAGACTAGTGAGAATCTACCACAAAGGACGTGTATTTCAAGACCACTACCTACACTGAGAACCAACAGTTTGAAGTTTAGACTAGTGAGAATCTACCACAAAGGACGTGTATTTCAAGACCACTACCTACACTGAGAACCAACAGTTTGAAGTTTAGACTAGTGACAATCCACCACAAAGGACGTGCACTTCAAAACCAATACCTACACTAAGAACCAACAACTTGAACTTTTGGCTGGTAAGAATCTATCATACCACAGCATCTAACACAAACAATGGTATTTTAAGACAACACAGAGAAATATGAAAATGCACCTTATAATTATGCGTAGTGTAATTTGATCACTCAATAGAGAGAGGCCATTTAAAATATTTTACTTCGCGATGGGACATTCAAGGAAGCAATCCAATGATCTTTCTTCCCAGAACGCAAAACGTTGAACAAAATTCTATAATATTCTTCGCTACAACAAATGATTCTGCTGTCAACACTGTAGAATGGCTATTTACTTAGTTTCATTTATCAAAGACAGAACCGAGTAATGACTGTAATGGCAAAGCAAAATTTAATAAAATATATCTGCATCGAAACCAAAGATACCATCTGGGTTTCAATGTCAAACAACCCAGGAGTATTTGGTTACACAAACACAGGGAATAAGCGGCGAACGATAAACACGAATATTACAAGTCAGCTAAAACCTGTTAAAGCCGGCAGCCATAAGTATTACTAAGGCTAATTAAATACAATCATAGAAAGTTAGGAAACTCAATGCAGGAAGATGATGATGATGATGATAAACTTTATTTTGTCTAGGTTTATGCTAGCCTGCGATTCAATGACGCATGTGTGTATTGTATTTACTGGAAAGCAACCAATAGCTATGTTTCCATCAGTGGCGGAAATTCACTTTTTCCGGTGGGGGGGGGGGGCAAAGCCTCCTAAATTTCCGACAAAACCTTCAAATTTCCGACAACCGCCCCCCCCCCCCATTTGCATTCGAAAAAGTTGTCTTGTAGGTGTCCCCGCCCCACCGAGATTTCCGCAACTGGTTTTCATTTAACCATTGTGTATATCACGAGGCTGCTATTGGTTGGTTGGACGAAAAAAACAATACATACATGACGGTAAACCGCCGACCATCTCTTGCATAAACGAAGGCAAAAAAATAATCCTGAATCATATTACAAAGAGCAATGGATTGTACCAAATTCATTGTAGTTTGGGTCTGGTTATTCACAACAGTAAGTACAGTATATTTATCAGTGTATTACATCTATATTGTAGTATGCGATAATCGTTTAAGGGGGATTCATATTCACTTTTTTCATTACCGACTACCGATTTATCGGCAAATACCGCGATAAAATTTAAATTTCGTACCTTTCATGTACTGAAACTAACGAAAAATGCATTATTTCCCTTTGCTACAAATTATCATATTTGAAAAAAGAGAAAAAAAGTTTTATCGCGGTATTTGCCGATAAATTGGTAATCGCTACAGAAAAAACAGAACAAATTACAGTATTAAAATCACAACAAACTACAGAAGCGGAAGTGGGACCATTTTTGTATTTTCACTGCAAGTATAATGATTGATTTCGTCATTCCTGTCTGAATCAAAATTTAGTCTAGAGCTGAAATCATCCATTGGATTATCTCGCCCCGGCTGAATTTCAGCGCGGTTAATCGAGCTGAAATTATTTCACAATTACATGGCAAATTTCAGCCCAGGATGAGTTAAAATTTCAGTTCAAACCTAACCTGAAGTTCAGGCCCTAATCACAGAATAGGGCCTGACACAAAACCTATCTAAAGTGTGGGATTCCCGTCCATCTGGTGGACGGGAAATCTGATTGGTTGATCAGCATCATGAAGGATTTTGATGGGAGTATCTAATTGGAGCGGGTAGCGGGTCGCGGGTAAAAGGAGCGGGTCGCGGGTAAAAGGAGCGGGTAATTAAAAAAGGAGCGGGTAAAAGGAGCGGGTAATTAAAAAAGGAGCGGGTAAAAGGAGCGGGTAATTAAA